ATTTCATCCACTATCAAAAGTAGTGTGGTTAATTTTTTGGGGGGTTGCAAATTTAGTGTGCATCCTCTCTTATCCTTACGTTAATTACGAATGTAGGGCGAGATTGACGAGTGTGAGGAAAAATTTCCTTCATAGGACGGCTTGGTCAGCGTGGCGACCCTGTCTTCTGCGCTTGTCACAACATTGTCAAACGGTGAGGAGATTTATGCCTCCTCACTGGGGCATGGAAATCTTGTTATTACATGTATAATTCTGTAGTTCAGACTTGCTACGCATGGATAGTTTTCGAGTAAAGTGTTATGCTTTATGAGATTATTGACTGGTTATCATTTATGGAGAGCTAATTTGCGTTAAAATTTCAACTTGAGCTGACGACTGGGTAAAAATTTATAGAAAATTGGTGAAAATGTTTAATTTCCATGCATTTAAAATGGTGTACCAGATACTGCATAAGGCAATAGTGGTGGTGGTATATTGTTCCAGATAATGGATAAGGCAGTAGTGAAAAGTGAGATAAGTATATTGAAGTATAAATACTCACAAAGGGATGAGATAACTCAAGCTGTTCTCACCCCGTTCAGTACAACGTGTTCCTGTTTATATTAACACACACAACCCATATAATAAGCATATTTCCAAACATTCTGAGTGAAGACAGTATATTCCTGCGAGGGTCCTAAACCTCTGCCTGGGCCCACTAAGAGTTGGTAGTGGTGGTATGGAGTACCAGATAGTTCATAAGGCAGGAATGGTGATATTGTTTACTAGATACTGCATTGTGCAGGAGTGGTGGTAATATGCTCCACATTCTGCAAAAGGTACGAGTAGTGGTATGGTGTACCCAATTTTGCATTAGGCCGAAGTGGAGGTATTGTGTACTATGGCATTAAGCAGGATTGGTGGTAAGGTGTACCAGATACTGCATTAAGAAGGAAGGTTGGAATGTTATTACATCTCAACCCGTCCTCTTAAAATTAATGTCGCTCTTCGCTGGTATACACGCTATGGACAAAAATGGACGTAATTTGAAATGAAATCGGCTCACGAAAGTGATGTACTGTCCCGTTTTCTGTTTAAGTCCTCTAGCTTACTCGGAAAGGTTAGGAGAGGAAATACTCAGTTAGTGTTTTTCATGACGTTTTGAAACTTTAGTGGCCTCAAGGCCTGAAACTCTCCAGTCACGGGCCACAAATATTTTAAATTGAAATAAGTTGAGTGATATTGCCCTCCGAACCTACAAGAGGACGCTTAACTTTCTGTTTTGGAAATAAATCCCAATTTTATTTTCATTTTTCAAATTACGTCCATTTTCGGTCATACAGGTAAACAGCCAAATTCAGACGTAATTTGAAAGAGGACAGGGTGACAGATACTGCCAAGGCACATGTGGTGGTATGGTGAAGCAGATACTTCATAAGGTATTAGAGCAATATGGTATACCAGATACTACACAATGCAAGTGTGGTGATATTGTGTACCAATTACTGTTTAAGTCATTAGTGGTGGTATGGTGTGCCTGATACTGCATAAGGCAATAGTGGTGGTATGGTGAGCCAGATACTGCAAATGGTATTAGTTTTGGTATGGTGTACCAGATACTGCATAAGGTATTAGTGGTGGTATGGTGTGCCAGATACCACCTAAGGCATTAGTGGTGGTATGGTGTACCAGATACTGCATATGGTATTAGTTTTGGTATGGTGTACCAGATACTGCATAAGGCATTAGTGGTGGTATGGTGTACCAGTTACTGCATAAGGCATTAATGGTGGTATGGTGTACCAGATACTGCATAAGGCATTAGTGGTGGTATGGTGTACCAGTTACTGCATAAGGCATTAATGGTGGTATGGTGTACCAGATACTGTTTAAGGCAGGTGTGGTGGTATGGTTTACCAGATATTACAATAAGCAGGATTGGTGGTACTGATCACCAATTGGTACGGTACATAAATTATGGGATCTAGCCACCTTAGGCATCGTCCCTGAACAATCTAGACCTGATGATGACTGGACATGCAAACAATACATGGACTCGGTTTTCTACAGGGACAATCAATGCTGGGTTAGGCTCCCTTGGAAGCAGAATCATCCTCAGCTTCCAGTAAATCATTTCAAGGCACAAAACCAATTAAGGTCTCAGGTGATGTGCTTAAATAGACAACCTGAGAACATGAAATTGTACCATGACATAATACAAGTACAACTTGATAATAAATTTATCGAAGCTGTCACCAATGATGACTCTAAGGAAGAACATTATTTGTTGCATCATACAGTAATGAAAAATTCAACCACTACCCCACTAAGGGTAGTATTTAACTGCAGTGCTAAGACGAAGCAGAATAGTGTCTCACTGAATGACTGCCCTCAAACTGGCCCAACACTGACACAAAGGCTGTATGACATGCTGTTAAAGTTTCTCATAGGGACTTATGCATACACGGCCGATACAAGTAAAGCATTCCTTAGGGTAGGTGTTCAAGAAGAGGACCGTAACTACACAAAGTTTCTATGGATGAAGGATCCTAGTGATCCATAGAGTTAAATAATCACATACAGATTTGCCTCAGTTTTGTTTGGAGCTAATTCTTCACCGTTTCTGCTTCAAGCAACCTTAGATATGCACTTGAAGAAGTCCAATAGCCCAAATAAAACTGAAATTAGCAACAACCTGTATGTAGATAATTTACAATGAATAATCAGCAGTGAGAATGAACTGCTAACCATTTATCACAAGGCCAATTGAGAGTTGTGAGTAAATATGCCTCTCCAGTCACGGGCCTCAAATAATTTAAATTTAAATGAATTGATTGAATCAGAATTTCCTGACTTCAACGTACCTGAGAAGATGAAGGAATTACAAGTCAAATGGGAAACAACATCTGGTCATAAAGTCGCGGAACCAGAAACCACGAACCTAACAATGAGGAAACTATTATCCCAAGTCAGCAAACCCTTCGTCCCCCTTTGGGATTATTAAGTCCAACATTGATAAAAGAGAATTTGTTAATGCAGGAATGCTGGATGGAGAAGATAACCTAGGATGATCCTCTAACTCTTATCTGACAAGAAAAATAGTAAGGGCTAGTAAAAGATCTAAGTATCCTAGAGTCCGTCAAGTTCCCTCGAATTTCATCACCGCAAATTCAACCAATTAAGATGCATGTGTTCAGTGATAGGCAGGAGTGGTGGTATGGTGTACCAGATACAGCAGAGCGCAGGAGTGGTGGTATGGTGTACCAGATACAGCAGAGGGCAGGAGTGGTGGTATGGTGTACCAGATACAGCAGAGGGCAGGAAGGGTGGTATGGTGTGCCAGATTCAGCAGAGGGCAGGAGTGGTGGTATGGTGTACCAGATACAGCAGAGGGCAGGAGTGGTGGTATGGTGTACTAGATACAGCAGAGCGCAGGAGTGGTGGTATGGTGTACTAGATACAGCAGAGGGCAGGAGTGGTGGTATGGTGTACCAGATACAGCAGAGGGCAGGAGTGGTGGTATGGTGTACCAGATACAGCAGAGGGCAGGAGTGGTGGTATGGTGTACTAGATACAGCAGAGCGCAGGAGTGGTGGTATGGTGTACCAGATACAGCAGAGGGCAGGAGTGGTGGTATGGTGTACTAGATACAGCAGAGGGCAGGATTAGTGGTACGATGTACCAGATACAACAGAGGGCAGGAGTGGTGGTATGGTGTACTAGATACAGCAGAGCGCAGGAGTGGTGGTATGGTGTACCAGATACAGCAGAGGGCAGGAGTGGTGGTATGGTGTGCCAGATACAAGGTTCACCACACCAGCAAACATGACCACAAGGTCGTGTATGCTGGTGTGGTGAACCTTGTGGTCATGTATGCTGGTGTGGTAAACCTTGTGGTCATGTATGCTGGTGTGGTGAACCTTGTGGTCATGTATGGTGGTGTGGTGAACCTTGTGGTCATATATGCTGGTGTGGTGAACCTTGTGGTCATGTATGCTGGTGTGGTGAACCTTGTGGTCATGTATGGTGGTGTGGTAAACCTTGTGGTCATGTATGGTGGTGTGGTGAACCTTGTGGTCATATATGCTGGTGTGGTGAACCTTGTGGTCATATATGCTGGTGTGGTGAACCTTGTGGTCATGTATGGTGGTGTGGTAAACCTTGTGGTCATGTATGGTGGTGTGGTGAACCTTGTGGTCATGTATGGTGGTGTGGTGAACCTTGTGGTCATATATGCTGGTGTGGTGAACCTTGTGGTCATGTATGCTGGTGTGGTGAACCTTGTGGTCATGTATGCTGGTGTGGTGAACCTTGTGGTCATGTATGCTGGTGTGGTGAACCTTGTGGTCGTGAACGCTGGCGTAGTGGCTGTAGTTCTTACAATGCCAAGGTAGAGGTAGACATGTGGTTCTAATTGTTTGTAGTGTGGATCTTCAACATCACTCACAGAGAACACCATTAGTGTGTACAATATTTACCACACTTGACACTACTCTGGAGACTATGTATCTGTGGCCGACGTCTTCAGATGAGTGTAGAGACACGTTTGTCCCATGAGACTTACTCATTACTTAATACAGACATTATTTGTAAACTTCCACAAGTAAATTCTAAACAGCATCACACTCAGCTGCCCAGCAAGAAGCAGCATAAGAGCTCACAGCATAACCTCTCCTGCATCTCCCGATCTTCAAGAAATATTCCCACACTCAGTGATTTCATCTTTTTCAAAAGAAAACGATCTTAACATTCGAGGGGAAACTTAAACTTTGAAGACTTCGGTGCCAGTCACCATCAACTTGACATGTTTTTCCTCAATAAAAAAAAAAATTTGTTTCAGAAGGGTGAACGATTGGCCCAAGAAATTAACATTTTAGACGCTAGTGGATCTCCCACCTTCTTGATATGGTATTGATTGTTTACATTCTATTATTCCTTGATTAATGAAATACTATTAATCTTTTGTTGAACTTTAAAACAAATACTTTTATGAAATAACAAAAATTAAGACTACCACAAACCTCTTTTTGGTAGACGATGATAACCTGAGGATGTCTGAAGTGCCACCAGCTCTAAACTCCCTCTTTAACCGAGCGCTTTTTGCTGCTTGCTTTAACAAAAGCTTAACGCTCGCTGGTTGACCAAAAGCTGTAGGCTGAAGAGTTGTTGAGGAAAGTTTGTCTTTAATCACGTATCACATCACACCAGGACGCACTGTGAATGTGGCCAAGTGTCACACACAGGTCAAGGCCTTGTGGTCACTCAATGGTCAGTACCTCCGGGACACCATGAACACTGTTCACAACAGATAATATCAATACATCCTGGTAAAACCAAAAGCAAGACACTTCACACACACGAGAACTGTTAACAGTACACTACTGACAACTACACTGGCGTCAACAGTGACACACGAGAACTGTTAACAGTACACTACTCACAACTACACTGGCGTCAACGGTAACACCAGATAAGAGCACACAAGCCACCACTACGCTTATCTATATCAAGGCGGACGGAGCGTTGAGCGACAAAAAGCGACACCAGTGACAAAAATATGGGTTCCTTTCTAGATTATCTTCCACACTAATGAGACAACTCTGTGGTATCTGCTATGTTACTGGTGATATTTATCACACACTACTGGGAGGGCTATGTGCACTCTGTGCTCCCTCTATGTTTTTTTTTTTTTTTTTTTTTTTTGAGATATATACAAGAGTTGTTGCATTCTTGTACAGCCACTAGTACGCGTAGCGTTTCGGGCAAGTCCTTAATCCTATGGTCCCTGGAATACGATCCCCTGCCGCGAAGAATCGTTTTTTCATCCAAGTACACATTTTACTGTTGCGTTAAACAGAGGCTACAGTTAAGGAATTGCGCCCAGTAAATCCTCCCCGGCCAGGATACGAACCCATGACATAGCGCTCGCGGAACGCCAGGCGAGTGTCTTACCACTACACCACGGAGACTGCAAATGTTATTGCTGATATCTATCACACTCTACTGGGCCAGCTGTGTGTACTCTGTGCTCCCTCTATGTTACTGGTGATATCTATCACACACTACTGGGCCAGCTGTGTGCACTCTGTGCTCCCTCTATGTTATTGCTGATATCTATCACACTCTACTGGGCCAGCTGTGTGTACTCTGTGCTCCCTCTATGTTACTGGTGACATCTATCACACTACTGGGCCAGCTGTGTGTACTCTGTGCTCCCTCTATGTTACTGGTGACATCTATCACACTACTGGGCCACCTGTGTGTACTCTGTGCTCCCTCTATGTTACTGGTGACATCTATCACACACTACTGGGCCAGCTGTGGTGACATCTATCACTCACTACTGGGCCAGCTGTGTGTGCTCTGTGCTCCCTCTATGTTAGTGCAACCCGCTCTCGCAATAACATAGTATCATTGTGGCCAAAGGCTCATAGTTCCTAAGCTGCTAATGTTCATAGTTTATCTGTGGTAGATTTCCAGTTATTTCCCTATCACCAGGCACCAACCCTTCCTCACGCACCATAGTCTGTCCCATAGTACCCGTCACATCACTGTAGAGAGCATATGGGTCCGTTTGCTCCTATTTTAAATGATAATTGTATTTTTACAGTGAAATTTCTGATGTGAAATTTACGTACTATTTTCCATGTTATTCAAGTATCATGGATACGCTACATCCAATTGAAGTAAATTATAATAAGCACTATAAATTATTACATGTAATTGTGGAGTTCTCAGAAATAATTTTTATATATAATAGTATGTGCTTTGAAAATCTAGAGAGAGTGAATTGCAGGAATGTTATCAGAAAACGATGTTAAGTTGAAATGTCTGTGAGGGTACACTACTGAAAACCAGAAAGATCTAGGGGTCCACAACATATCACACGATGTTTATGGAGTCCATTACCACCTAAAAGGATAGGTATGGGTTCCACTACCACCTATAGGTTGGGTATGGGTCCACTACCACCAATAGGATAGGTATGGGGTCCATTACCGCCCCACGATTGGTATGAGGTGCATTAGTGCCCACGACATAGGCATGAGGTCCACTACCGCCAACAGGAAGGCTATGGGGTCCACTTCCATCCACAGGATGGGTATGAGGTTCACTGCCCCCAAAGGATGGGTATGGAGTCCACTACCGCTCAGAGGATGAGTGTTTGGGTTCGCTTCCTCCTTCAGAATGAGTATGGAGTCCGCTATCATCCATATGATGAGCATGGGGGCCACTACCACCCACAGGATGGGTATGTGGCCCAGTACCGGCCACAGGATAAGTATAGGGTCCACTACCGCCTGTAGGTTGTGTATGGGGTCCACTGTCACCCAAAGGATGAGTATGGGATCCACTATCACCCACTGGATAGGTATGGGGTCCATTACCATCCACAGGATGAGTAAGGGTTCCACAACCACGTATAGGATGGGTATGGGGTCCACTACACCCACAGGATGGGTATGAGGTCACTACTGCCCAGAAAATGGGTGTATGGTCCACTTCTGCCCACAGGATTGGTATGGGGTCCACTGCTCCCAACAGGATGGGTATAGGGTCGACTACCATCCAGAAAATGGATGTATGGTCCACTACAGCCTACAGGATTGGTATGGTTCTGGTACCGCCAATGGAATGGGACCCAAGGTGTCTACTACCACCTGTAGATGGTTATTGGGGTCCACTACTGCTTACAGGATGAAGTACTGCCCAGTCAAGTACTGTCGGAAATCCGAAACAAATGTTAACATATTATAGTTACCCATTAAGATATTATAGATAAGGGAAGATTCCGTGACGTCATCACATGACGTATATTCACAACACGAATATATAAAACTCTAATTATTCCTTTAAACAGAGTCTAGTGTTTAAACTTAATAAAATAGTATTCACTAGGACTGAATAATTATACCATACACCAGAAAATATAGCTTGCCTCCCTAGTCCTTAAGACAGAGTAGGAACCAGCAGAGTATTGGAACAAAACATTGTTGGAAGACCACACACTAGAAGTTGAAGGGACGACGACGTTTCGGTCCGTCCTGGACCATTCTCAAGTCGATGGTGACTTCTAGTGTGTGATCTGGTAAACATACTTCAGCCACGTTATTGTGACTCATCGCCTGCACATTGTTGGAACGCCACCTCAAGGGAGGAGGCAGGCAAGCCATTGTCTCAGAGAGAGAGAGAAAGAGAGAGGGCTCCTCACGACATGCACAACTCATCAAAGACTCCCAAAATATAAGTCAACCAACCAAGAAACTGCCACTGTGACCCCTAAAGCAATTAAGTTCCCGACTGTCTTATATTCTTTTATTGGTAGTGATCACTATTACATATTGGATAGGAAGCCAGATATTAGCATACGAACACCCAAACATAGTGAGTAGTGTTCCTCAGCAACACACAAATATTTTATGTCTCACCTGTACCTTATATGTTGATGGAGCCATTATTAATACCATTCCTTCGCCAGATAATTCGTGATCTGGAATAAGTAGGTGAGCTGGCCCATATAAAGTGTGATGTTTCTTGCTACCCTTGTTGGTCGACAGACGCCACAGTGCTAGGCCGCCATTACATGGCACTCTGAAGCACATGTGCTTCAGGCTTGTTCGCATATATATATATATATATATATATATATATATATATATATATATATATATATATATATATATATATATATATATATATATATATATATATATATATATATTAAGTGCTTCGGAGCTGATCAAGCAGGTGGGGCGGCCAACCACAGGGAAACAGCAAAATCACTCAAGTACAGGCGACTGGAAGGTCAATACCTCTTTGTTCCCATAGCGTCTGAGACGCATGGCCCCTGGGGCAAGAGTGCCTCGGGATTTCTCAAGGAATTGGGTTCCAGGCTCATTGACGTCACCAGAGACCCAAGGGCTTCCAGTTTTTTATTTCAGCGTCTCAGTGTGGCGATCCAGAGGGGAAATGCTTGCTGCGTCCTCGGTTCCTGTCCAGAAGCGGAGGAGCTTCAAGAGATCCATAACCTTTAGGCATTTGTCTTGTATGTTTTGTAACCTTTAAATACACAATAAAGAAAAAAAAAAAAGGGAAGGGGGTGGTAGGAGAAAAGCACACAGAAACTGTATTGGAGGGGACCTACATTCCCTCCAATGCGTTATGTGTGGTTTCCTCCGAGGCTATGGGTCCCCCTTCTTCCAGCCAGAGGTGGTACTCCCTTCCTTTTTTATATATATATATATATATATATATATATATATATATATATATATATATATATATATATATATATATATATATATATATATATATATATATATATGCGAACAAGCCTGAATGGTCCCCAGGACAATATGCAACTGAAAACTCACACCCCAGAAGTGACTCGAACCCATACTCCCAGAAGCAACACAACTGGTATGTACAAGACGCCTTAATCCACTTGACCATCACGACCGGACAAAATGAGGTGATAGCCGAGGCTATTTGAACCACCCCACCGCCGGCACTCGGATAGTTATCTTGGGCATAGCATTTTACCAAATCACCTCATTCTTTGTTCCTCACGTGTGCCCCAAAGAATGAGGTGATTTGGTAAAATGCTATGCCCAAGATAACTATCTGAGTGCCGGCGGTGGGGTGGTTCAAATAGCCTCGGCTATCACCTCATTTTGTCCGGTCGTGATGGTCAAGTGGATTAAGGCGTCTTGTACATACCAGTTGTGTTGCTTCTGGGAGTATGGGTTCGAGTCACTTCTGGGGTGTGAGTTTTCAGATATATATATATATATATATATATATATATATATATATATATATATATATATATATATATATATATATATATATATATACATATATATATATATTCCCTTTGTGGTATAAGTTGTAAATATACCTTCAAACTATGTGCAGATAAATTCTGGCAGGCTGAATCAAAATATACAGTCCGTTTAAAATCATAATTCAATATTGAAGTTAACAAAATATATGTTGGAAATTTCCAACACTAAATGCAACACTGTTGTATTATTATTAATTATTACTAAATCTACTAATCATTGTAGTAATTAAAATTAACCAAACGTAGAGTTCACATGTACTAATAATTACATCTGTACAATAAGGCTAGAATTCTTACGTCACCAGACGCCAGTATTGCGTCAGATTCCATTATAATAAACACAACTATATCCAGTGTGCCTGAGAATTGAATTTGATTCTCTATAAAACAACAGTGTTCTGTGTGATAATTAATTACAGATAAACTGATCCCCAACTAATGCCAAATAGAGTGTTTATAGTTATAACTGTTATCTGTTAATAAATTTAACGTCACGCGTGAATGCCCTGGAGAGACTTTAATTCATCTCCATTGCTCGTTTACCATCGTAAAACGGGCAAATAATAATATTTAACTCCTCTGAATAATAAACCCGTCCTTATCCGAGCATTTCA